GTATTGAGATGAACTTTTGTTATTGACCAAATACTTATCTTCCACCATTATTTGCAAAAAATGATTTTCTCAAATTTTTTTTCACATTTTGTCTCTCATAGTTGAGGTCTACCTATGATGTCAATTACAGGCCTCTCTCATCTTTTTAAGTGGGAGAACTTGCACAATTGGTGACTGACTAAATACTTATTTTCCCCACTGTATAGTGGTGCTGAAATTAAACAGATTATAAAGATGTCTTTCCAGGACCAGGAGAAACTAAATCCATCTTTTCTTCCTCCTAGAGACTCCGAGTACACAAAAAAAAAAATGCATTTAACGACTAAAAATGTGGATTTTGCACATGTCCCCTTTAAGTTGCAGCCATTTAGGTCAAAACTTGAAAGTAATATTCTCATGTGACATCACAGGAGTCTGTGTTGTGCATTATTTTCAGCTACAACTGCACCAAATTCAGAGATGTAACAAAATACATTTACTTCATTGCAGTAAATACGTTTTTTTTTTCCTGAAGTATTTTTTTATTGTAACTTTTATTTCTCTATGGTCAAAACATAAAAATACTTATACTTCTTTACTTTAGAATTTAACACCTCGTTACATGCTACAAATTTAAATATGAYCAAACTCATCACGAAATGAGCTGTTTATGCATTTTTAAAAAATCAAGAGACAAATTTACTTAACCAAGTTCCAATAAACCAGGGGTGTCAAACTCAGGTCCTCGAGGGCCGCTTTCCTGCACGCTTTCTTTTAGCACTTAACACATTTTCTTTTAAAAAGGAACCATTTAAACATAACTCATTTAAATTGAACAATTCATTTCAGTGTGTGTACTTTTACTTTCTCAATTATTTTAGGCAGTTTTATGGCTTTTACCTAAGTACTTTTCTTATCAATGAAATTTTTTTTAAAGTCATTTTCTGTTAAGATATTTTAACTTTTACTTTGTTATTTTAAGTACTTTACATACCTCTGACCAAATCTTTAAATCTGATAGTTATGGTCATTTCTGTGTGTATTAAGGTCAGTTGGCTGTAGCAGCCATCTTGAAAATGTTACTAATGCGTTTGTGTAAATCTAATGATTAGTTCCTGAAAGTCTCATTAAGATTGGTCGAGTGGTTCATGTGATATTTTGGAAACACACAGGTAAAGCCACGTGTCAGCAGCAGGTGATAGACGTCTCCTTCAGATTAAACTGAACCAAACACACCCACCTGTTTGCTGGAGAGGGCAGTGCAGGTCTGGACTATGGCCCGAGCGTCGGCATCAGTCTTCTTCCCCACCTGCAGCAGCTGAGCTGCCTGGATGAGGGGCTCCAGTGGGGCCACTGCGCCCCCTGCCTGCAGACCTCGATTCCGCAGCCACTCCTCCAGCAGGCTCACGTTGTAGCTGAGCCAAAGAAAAACATGAACATAAAGGCCAACATGGACACCGTCACACGTGGCTGTGTGCCGTACCGTATCTGCATGCCCCGGCTCCAGCAGCACACGTCCTTCCTYAGCAGCAGGTTGTTGAGAGCGCAGGCACAGATGAAGTGGGTGAGCTGCCTGAAGGCCTGCTCTGTCAGGCTCAGAGGCAGAGTCTGTTGGGTCAGAGCGCTGTGAACGCCTCCCAGCTCCCTCAATACAGACGCCATGGTGGGGGTGTCACCCCCCGCCGGCCTGGGCTCTGAGCCCGCTCGCTTCCTGGACACTCCAAGTTTCAGAGCTGAGCCGGACAGACCTGCGATGGTCTCGCTCTCCAGCAGGGCTGGGACTGAGGAAGAGGAGGAGGAGGAAGGTGTAAGCTGCAGTAAAGAGAAGGGTTCAGGGTCACGTAAGGGTACCTATGAGCTTTTGTAGGCGTGTCTCTGCGATGGAGAGGAGCTGCTGATAGGCCTGGATGCTCAGGTCACTCAGGGTGCGGATCAAGTCRCTCAGGTCAAAGGTCAAAGGAACCAGTTTATCTGAGTCAAGACTCTGAAAAGAAACGAGATGGACATTGTTAGACTTGAAGCACGTTGTGTTTGTAACAATCTAAGAAGATCTCTGTTCAGACTGTTTACATCTGCACTTTTCTAGACCATGATTTTCAGACTTTTTCCATTTTTGAGCCTTTGTGACAACAAAACATCGATAAATTTACTCTCACTTATCATGTTTGAACAAGAGTGCGGTTTCTTTAAATCTAATAGCTATGAGTAAGAGCAAACGTACTGCCCAACATGACAACTTCAGAATCCACATGCTAACATGTAGCATCCACGTTTAGCTAATTCTTTAAACAGGGAGTTGAGTGTGATCACCTTCTGTCCATCAGGGCTGTGGAGAGTTCACACTTGAGTCAGATGGAGGTCACGTTTAAAAACTAATGTGAATGTGGAAAAAAATGAACATTAAAGTAGACTTATCAGGCTTTTAAATCCTTCCTTTTCACATTTAAATCATTCAGTCTGGGTCTTTAGGGGAACTACAATGCTTTGGTCTGAATTCCTTCTTATTCAAACTTTTCCAGCCCCTCTTTCACCCCTTTTCAGGTGTGTGCCTCAAAGGACCTTGTTTGTTCTCTCGTTCTCTTCTTTTAAGACCCATCAAGCCCTGCTCCACCCCCCTCTGGCTTCCAGACGGGTCCATTCCAGTT